TTATATTTATTACAATAAATACAGAATATTTTTTGGGATATACAGGAGACGAATAATAAGAATATTTTTGGAGACGTACACACAGGTCAGTAGTCGGCCTGTCTATATTTCAGTGCAAACGAGAGTTGATATTTATAAGAGCTATATCGCTAATATGTTACCAAGAATATATGGCCCTTATTTCGTCTCTATTTCTGGTTATATACTCGATGTGTATTTAGTTCTATGTATAGGATGGCGTATATGCTTCACAAATGTTATAAATCGTAATTTCGAAAGTATTGATTCACGCTGAACGAATGTTTTTATTTTCAAATGTGTCGTTACGATGTCCACTGTCTAAGAAAAAAAATACGAGTACTAATAATTACTGTGTAAATGGGCCACCCTGTATTTGATGTATAATATTAGCAATAAATTTACTTATTACGGCAGTGTATTTAGAAGAAAAAGTTTGTAATTGTAACTATTTTATTGAGAGTTTTATTTTTAGTAATTCCGGGATTTTAGGCGTAGATATTAATCACTCTATATGCATTAACCGAAGTTTAGGTAAAATAATATTCCTATTCGGATTACTGCTTATCATCTAATCCCAGGTGCCAAAAAAAAGCTGCCCATAGATTGATATTAAAAATTACGTTAAAAGTTCTACTACTGCTTTATAATCAATATGTATAAGTAGCAGTAGACCTCCTTGTGAAAGAGTTCGTTTAGGGACTTACTGTCATTTTGCCTATTTCTACCGCGAAGCAGTAATGTGAGCATTACTGCGTTCCAGTTTTAAGGGGTAAGGGTGCTGTTGAAATTATAGACACATGGGACTTGTCAACTTATGTATGTCTCAGGGTGACGGACGCAGCGGGAGTGCCCCTCAGATCTTTGCAATTTAAAGCATATCTGAATAGCACTGCAATTGTTGTGGACAGGCGTGTCGCTTTCCACCAGGCGCACGACTTGTTCGTTCCGTTACTACACATCATTCAAAAAATCTCTTACACGTTTATAATCCATTCCGATTTTAACCTAAACATTTTAAAAATTAGGTTATTTATTTTCTTTCTTTTTCAAAACGTTACTATTTCTAACGCGCATGATCTGTAAACAAATACATCCTATTTCCTCGCCAGATCCCTTTTTTTCTCAGTTTTCAAATTTTCTTCATAGGGTATAAATTTCTTTATTATAAAAAGTCAAAATCCTTGTCAGTGGCTGAAACACTATCCACGAAAAACCAAAAACAAACACACAACTAGTGCTTATAATATTATGTTAAAACACAAAGAGGCACATGTTAACCTTCATTACAGCCTCAAGTCTGATCAAGCAGACCCTTATGGTAAAGAAAACAATAGTCTGCCCTTTGAAGGGCACAAACGACTCATTCCCGGCTTTTAAAAAAAAACCATTTAGTGTTAAATGTGCTTGAGATGAGGGTTCCGCTCTCAAGAGTGCATAATAAGTGATATTGTTCTACATAATCAGTATTGATTAAAATTAAATATCAACTTGTTTTGTACTTATTTATTCCCGATAATTTTAATTAACTCCCTGTTTTTGCCTATTACAAATTTCCTATTGTATCCCATAGAAGCGTAGGCAACAATGTTATTTATTATTATTGGTGCTTATGACATGGTAGGCGGTCAACTTGACACATTTTGTCATTTAGTTATTTATTATGATAATGATAATGGTTGTGAAGATGTTCGTAATGCATAAACTCATTTATCTGTGGAAATAGGTTGTCAGTTTTTTTTTAATAATACCAAGGGACGGGATGAACACGTCACTCGCCTGGTGGTAAGCAGTGCTATTCAATGCTTTAAATCGCAAAAATCTGAGGGCCACTGTCACTGCGTCTGTCGCCCTGATACCTAAGTTGACAAATCCCATGTGTCTGTAATTTCACCAGCACTGTACTCACATTACTTAGGTAAGATGGCAGTACTTCTCTGCACGAACTCTTTCAGAAGGAAGTCTACCGCTACTAAGTTGACAGTACCTATACTATACTATTGTACTTATCTAGTTCTTTGGGTTTTGCGGTTGCTTCACATTGGATATGAAGCTATTTTTTTGCGTCTAAATTGTGTACATTTGTTGACCAACGTTTCAAAGACTCAATGTTTCAATCACATATAAAGAGCCCCATGTATCATCGGCGTTTTGTAGAAACAGCGAAAGCGCCATTTCGAAAAAAAATCAGGGGAGCATGTTTTTGGTTTTAACGACTGCTTTAAAATATTTACGTCCAGTTTCAAAATTAAATTTTGATTTCAATTTTATAATTGAAATGAAAACAAAGTCGTAAATTTTTCGAAATGGCGATTCAACAAAACACCGACAAGGTGTGCTATTTTGATTCGAAAAAATATCAGCACTGTAAACTAGGTACGACATGTTTTTTTAATCAATATGTTACTTACTACTGTAAGTATGGCGTGGCTGTGCAAATGGATATAATAAATTTGGTCTAATGTAAAATAATAATAATTATTATTATAAAACGCACCTAGATGTCAAAATAATACACGGAAAAAATATATAACAAGATGGCGGATCTTATTAGTCTAATCTAATTAGTTTTAAGGTCAGCTTATAGTGATAATTTATTTAAGTTCATTCTTATCTTACATCGATGAAAAAAGTGATCTTTACTGGAGAAATAAAAGAGTTATAACATTCTTCTATGTGTGACATAATGCTTTACGCTCAGAGAAAATTTCTTAATTTCCCTAAGGACGCAGATTAAGCAGCAAGCCGTATGTTTTTCACAATTCCCATTCGCCCTGTAATTACCGAACCCTAAAGCCCGGTAGAGCCATTTGGTCTCCACGTGTCAAGCAGCACGATTCTATTAATTGCACGTTTTTACGACAACCGCCAAAAGTGTGCTGAAAAAACCACAGATGGCCAAAATGATATCTGTCCCACGATGACAAATGGAAGGGTTAAAAATAAACTTTTGTAATTTATTGCTATAATGACTTTTGATGGTTGTTTGAGGTCAAGAGCATTTATGATTTGCTTGTAGAATACAATAATTTAATCTATGGAAAATTAACAAATAATTGAACGTGTCCAAAATTCTAATCAGTATTATTCGTTTTTCAAAATTGTAATCAGTGTTGCCAATATTATAGTTTTCTAATATTTGTTTTTCGCGCGAAATAGTTTTGTGTTTTCTTTAATCGTTTTATTTGTTTCGCGATGTAATAGATGTATAACAAAAAGAAAGTTTTGTTTTTAAATCTCATTCCCGCGACCCCATAACACGGGCCGTGATCCTAGTTTAGGTATCAGTCTCACACCAACCAAGTAAACCTATTTACTTTGGTTTGGGTATTACTCACGATGCAGCCGTTACTGAAAAATTAAGAAGTTTTTATTTTGGTTATCTTATCTCCGATGGTTTAAGGGGATACGATAATGGCATAATCGACCGGTGCTAGGGATATTTTTTTTTTATAATGTTAAGTTTGTTACTTGTAAACAAATATTTACTCTTTGTTTCATTTTATGTTCAAATTTTTGATCAAAAAGTGTAGAAATGATAAAAGAAAATAATTTATAGAGATAAATAAGCGTCTGTTAAAAAATTACGTAATTATTTTAGTTTCACAAAACTCAACAAGCAATATGACTGGTAAAAAATTCTATGACGTTTATTTATACACCGTAACTGCACGCTACCCGATACCTTAGATCCTGCCTGTCAAACATTTAAAAAACGCATAGCGTGTAACGGAACGGAATCGCGTCAAAAAATTGATTTATACCATTCAAAACATGGCATTTTAGAAACTAAAAATATTTTACGACCTTCTCTCCCAAACGTCGTGTTAAACACTAATTAACCTCAACTAATATTTCGCGTGAAACGGAATGTCTTGTTGATTATGGAAAACTATTTATCTTATTTTTTGTTTATCTGCTTAAAGGAATTTTGAATAATTAATAGTTCGTTTCTTTTTTTAAATATTGCTGTGAAATTTATAAACATAATATTTTTATCACGTGTTTTTTATCATTACGATCTGTATATGAGATAACTAATTCGCAACGTTATTAAATTAATTACTGTATTTTTTTTCAATTTTTCATTCGTATTACTGGTTTGTCTCATAATTTTATCACCATTGCGCTCAATATAACACATAGAACATACTCAGACTTAAATTTCTGCAAAGAAATGCACCATACACTATCTATTTAGGTATATTTTAGACTTCATATAAAAAAGCATTTAGTCATAATACCTGTAGGTACGAGTGTTTATTTTGAGACACGATTTTAGTTTTCGTAAAACTCATCGGATTTTGCAAATACGAGCGATAATCTCTAAAACATCTTCAGCATCGAATACCTTGTAACATAAAACGCTTTGTACACTCGAATCACTTCCTTTGATCGGGGCGTGATAATTCAAGTACTGGCAAAGGTAATTTTGCGTATAACAAAACGAAGAAACTTAATTTGAACAAAGAAATAGCAACACCCCTGCGTAACAATACATCTCTAGTTTGAAAGTGAAGTGCATTTTTAATTTTGTCGATGCGTAGTCCTCGATAGACATGGGGTGTGTCCCATTCGGAAATTTTATTAAGTAGCTCTTTTCACGGCAATTGTATTTCGACAATATAGGGATTACACGGGGATTAAGGACCCTTCTCATTGTTGGAAAGGTCTATTTCGGTGTAAATTTTAATTCAGACCCATATAGGTGAAAACGTTGAGTGTCCTCATGTTACAAAATGGTACGTGAAGTAGGTTTTTTTTATTATTTGGTTATTAGTAAGCACTTAGACAACAAAATATACAAATAAGGAATCAAGTATCGGTAACAAAATAATTTAATTAGAATTATTCGATTTTCAAATTTGATACTGCCAATATTATAATTTTTTGTGTTTATTTTACGCGAAATAGTTTTGTTTATTTCTACAAATTCTGTTTCACAATGTAATAGATTTGTTGATTTGTTTTTAGAATCTTACCTCTCAGACGCATCGGTGCTTGTATCAGGTCTCGCCCGTTTTGCCTGCAACAAAGAAATGACGATAAACTTACAAATTTCAACATGTTCAAAGAACACATAACAACACAAAATTATTGTTAGTACAAGTTCATGCAAATTTAAAAGCCATGCTTGTTTTTTATATTTTGCTTATCAAATATGATGGCGATTATTTAGGAAGGCTTATGTCCAGTTGACGTCTTGCGGATGAAATGGTGATGATATTAAAAATTCTGCAAAGTCCACGCCTTCAAGCAATCAGTGCCAGACGCTCTCTCAATTGAGCTACGGCACGAAACAGAAGACCTTACGAATTTTTCTATGCGTTTGTTGTAGATCTTTATTTTGGTCTTTAGCGACCTTTTTGCAGCGCCATCTGTGAGAAATCTATTTCTTCACTCCTTCAATACTACTACTGCAGCTCAGCTGGGAGAGTCTCTGGCACTGATTGCTTGAAAGCGCCAGTTCGAATACAGCCGGATCCAAGGATGTTTCTAAGAGTCGTATTCTAGAACTCTACTCAATGCTCAAGTCAGGATTTGAGTATAGTTTAAAGCACTCGAAATCATACTCAAGTCTCTGCCATTAGGGTCGTATTTCCAGTGCTTGTGTTGCCAGTGCAATCCTGACTTGAGCATTGAATAGAGTTCTAGAATACGACCCTTAGTGTTCGATCGTTGTATTAATATTTATAACAATATACAGGAGTAATTTCACAAAACAAAATTGAATATCATGGTAGTAAAACATCGAGACATTCAACAAACTTAAAAAAAACAACATACCTATTATAGTTATTTGATATGCAAGGCTGCAAAGTTGTTATTTGAAGCGAGTGGTTGTATTGATACCTGAGCAAGCGAAGGAAGCTAAGATTCAAAAATAGATTCCTGAGCGTAGCGAGGGTTTCAAGGCACGAGACGCAAAACAACTTCGCTGCCGAGCAAAACACAACTTTTCACCTCCCTAAAGCGAGGAAAATGGTAGATGAAAGAAAAGCAGTTGAACATGACTTTTTTAATTAAAAGAAAAAGTTTATCTTCGGATGCGTTCTGAATTTACACTTTATTATCAATTTTTATTCTTACTTGTACTTTTTATTTTGTGTGGTTAAGTAATTATTGAAATTATTTTAGTTCTTCGACGAATTTAAATAATTTAATAAACACAATTAGATGTCATTGTTAATTTAATGTCAACAATAAGAAGAACAAAATATACCAACGGATTTATATTACATAAATAGGTAATGTACGAGAAATCGCGCAGTTGAACGTGTCATTATCTTTTTTTTTCATCGAAAGAAAAAGTTACGTGCACCATAGTACATCGTCAAGTTCGAATTTAAAAAACTTTTTCCGCGCTAGCGTGCATAAAACGCTTTTGCACGCAGATTTGTAATGAGAAAGAAAGCCTTTCCAAGCTAGTGGATGAAAGGTCTGTGTGAGTGAGTGAGTGAGTCTGTAGACCGGGTCTACTTATCGAACCTTTATGATTTCACATTGTGTACCATTGTGTGTAGCCAGACAATATTATTCCTATGAACACGTAAACGCCCAGTCATTTTAATGATAAGATCGCATGCAAATTTCATCATCATTATATCAGCCGGGAGACGTCCACTGCTGAACATAGGCCTCCCTCAAAGATCGCCAGATCGACATTGTTATTTGCCCTTACCAGGTCATTCGTCCATCTTACCCGGAGATTGGAACCCTTGGTGCCAGAGCTTCTACGACGTACGTCAGCGCCGCGATTGCTACTGGCGTCGTCGGGCTTGGGGATAATTTTGTGTGGTATTCATTTGGGGGGTTTAGACCATTTCCCCACTACGTTGGCTTACGTGTTGGCGAGTCGCTAGAGCCTCGTCGGTAGGAGCACGGTATATCGCGTGCAAGTGAGATTGACTATTGAGCACCATAGGTGCTGGGTGGCGCCCCTTATACCCCCATATAAATTTAGCGCTATTGTTTATTCTATATGACCATAGAGTGTTTAGAAAAATGCTTTAAAAAACCGTTACGTTTTTCATACAAAACTGATATGGCATACTTTTTTTATGATACACAGTGACGAGACGACCAAGTCGTGCACCTGGTGGTAAGCGACACGCCTGTCTATAACATTTAAAGAGCCGCTCAGAGTTTTAAATCACAAAGATTTGAGGTGCACCCTGACACATAAGTTGACAAGTCCCATGTGTCGGTAATTTCACCAGCACCCTTACCCATCAAAACCGAAACGCAGTAATGCTCACATTATTGTTTCGCGATGGAATTGGTACATTCCTAGACGATTTCTTTCACAAGCACCTTATTGCTACTAAAACAATAATTCTTATAAATACTATCTTGGTACTCAAGCCTAATACGTTTGTTTGAGTGTTGCAGTTCTTCTTGCGTTCTATTCTATAGTCCTCTTAACGATTTCGATGTTCCTGCTACTTTTTTATGAAGTTCATACATAATCTTGTAACAGTATTTCATTTAATATCATTTATTATCTCCCAATAAGTACGAAATATAGGTACATAAATGAACATAGTACTTAGTAGTATGGGAGACAGGAATCCAAAGTAGGTAAGCCCTGTGCTATGGCATTCTTGGCTCCCCCTCTCAGCAATAGCACAGTCAGTAAACAAAATAAGGTTATTTGATAGAAAATGTCGATAAAAACTCCAACTGTTTACCTAGAGATTTAAACAGGAGGCAAATAAATGAGAAATTATTAAAAAAATCAAAATTTCAAAATATTGAAAGGGAACATTACGTATTTAATTTTTTTTAATAATATTAAGTGACGGGACGACCAAGTCGTGCAGCTGATGGTAAGCTACACGCTGTCCATAACAGTTACAGTGCCACTCAGAGCTTCAAATCGCAAAGATCTAAGGGGCACTGCCACTGCGCCCGTCACTCTGAGACATAAGTTGACAAGTCCCATGTGCCTGTAATTTCACCAGCACCCAAATTAAACAAGTGTGTATGTGTGCTTGGGTGCGTTCGTGTGTTTGTGTGTGTGCGCGTGTGCGTGTGCGCGAGCGCTTGTGTGTTCCTGTGTGATGATGTATGTAAGTATATAGCGTGACATATATAGATAACATTTAAAAATAATATACTTTTATCGAATAGCGCATTTCATATTAGTACGCCACCGAATTGTACATAAATAAGGATCCGATTATCCGATCACGTGATAATGGACGACATGGTACCAAGTCACTTGTGCCATTGACATTACTGGTGTTGCTTGTAACTATAGAACCTGGAAGTTTATTTGACGCATTGTGACGTAATGTTAGTTACTATTTTTGCTATAGAGTTAGAAATGTACTCCTAATATTAAAAGCCCATTAAATATTTGTCGTATTGTGCATGTGCCGACGTTTTTTTCGCAAACACTCTCCCTTCGTAGAAGTACATTGTGATCGTTAAGAATGGGGCCTGTTTTTGCTGTGTTGCTGACAAACTGACGAATTTGACAGTGTACGAAGTGTTTGTTTTAATAATTAAGTAACATCTTTGTTTAATATTTATAGTGAATGCCAAGCATTTTAATTTTTGTACTTTGACTTTCTTTTATGATATCAAGTGACGGGACGACCAAGTCTGCGTCTGGTGGTAGGCAACAAGCCTGTCCTTAGCTGTTCCAGTACCACTCAGAAAATCCCAAAGATCTGAGGGGCAGCGCCATTGCGCCCATTACCCTGAGATACAAGTTGACGAGTCCCATGTGCCTGCAATTTCACCCGCACCCTTACTTAGCTTCCAAAACCGATACGCACTCATTACTGCTGGGCAGTACAAACAGACAAAGTAGCAGTATTTCTCCGGACGAACTTTTTCACAAGAAGCTCTACTGCTACTAAGCTGATCAAGCTGAAAGATTACTCTTATCTGAGCTAGACTTCTCCAGTCCCTCCTTCAGCATAGGTTTTACTGAGAACTGCAGAGACACTTCGGTGTCGGGAGGTGACATAGTGCAAAAATTTTTGGATACTGTGTACCTATCTATATCAGTTGACAATTTTTTTAATTTATTGAGCATTGGCTACGACCCTATCAGCTTAAAACTACAATAAAACAAATAAATTAATTAACGAAGCCTAAACGCTACAACGTAATAATAATTAATGAACACTTTCACTTTTATGCGGAATCAATCACAGGCATTTAAGGTTGTATCGAGTTTTAAGCAAAGATTGCGACATATGCAAAATGTTTTCGTACTCACAAAACGTACTTTGTCTATGCTTAACATTGACCTATGATGTTTAAGCAAGAAATTAGATGTTTGAAGTTTACTTTTTTGCTTAAACTTAAGACTAAGTTTTCCTCAAAGTCAGAGTTCGTTTTATCTATCACAGACTCAAATCTGTGGATCTTAGAGTCAATATAATAAGACCGAATAGGTCAAAACAGACGTTTGGAAAAACGACCAATTTCTCCAATCTACATACAACACAGTTATAAAGCGTTAGCAATCGAATGGATAATCGTTATGCATTAGTCACTATCGCTTATTGCAGTGTTTGTCTGTTTGTTGTACGATAGTTAGTGGGTGGATGTTGTGGTGATTCACCAAAATAAATAAGTACAATATAAATGTTGCCAGGTTAAACGTATTTGTTACGTTTGCAGCTTTGAACAGACTTTATTCATCTGTTTCCCTAAAATCGATCCCCGGGCGGATCCGTTTTATTTTAAATTATTTTCTCTTCTCATAGGATCCCCAACGCAGTAGATCAAAAATAAATATTAATATTTTATTCCCACCTGATACCTTGGAACTTCCAAGTTTATTTTTGGTAGGTACTGTGGTACAGTCAAAAGAAAATGTATCTATCTCATCAAGAAAATGTATATCATTATATGTGACAATCATAACATTAAACTAGATTTTAAATATTGCTCAAGACCGATTTATGTTACTAGTGATTCGACTAGACTCACAAAAAATTGATTCTCTATGATAATTGTAATATTTGATCATAAATCCTCAATAAATGAATATTTGATTTCAAA